AACTTGTAAAAGACGGCAATTTAAAATATAGGTACCCTGGAAGAATGTTTGCTTTTTCAGATATTGCTGGTAGAAGTGCATATGGCTATCTAAACTTTTGGAAAGGAATATGTCAGTATGAATCAAATACTTTAAGAAATACATAATAATAACGTAACCAATAATATTGTATAAATTTGAGTACATTTATGTTGAATGAGGTTTCAAAAACTATGAAGCCACATATATGCGAGTATATAAAAGTAAAATCACATTAAATGGAAACAATATCTATTCCCATAATTGGCTAGTATAGTGTACCTGGCATGTAGAATTCAGGCAATAAATATTTGTTGGATGAGTGACATATAGACATATTTTAGCAATGCACAGGACCAAAAAAAAAAAAGAGGCTAGAAGGAAAATATATGTTTATTAAATGCTAATTTTGCTTTAAAAAATCAATTTCATTTAAAATAAAAAGTAGCATAAGGAAAAAAAAAAATCACCCATAATCTCACCATACTAAGATAAGTATACTCTTAATCCCCTTCACCTATTTCACCCATCCTCCCACCCACCTCCTCTCTAGTAACCATTGGCTTGTTCTCTATAGTTAAGAGTGTTTTTTGGTTTGTCCCCCCGCCTTTTTTGGGGGGGGGAACTAGAAAATGTTTTAAAAGGCAGCATTAAGAGGAGTTAAAATATAGCCAATTTTATTATATGCCCTAATAAAAACTGTTCATTCTGATAATAATGCAAATCATTCTGTAGACAATGAACCAGTAGATTTATGGTACTGGTCTTGACTCACTAGAAGAGAAGCTTGCTTGCTTGCTTGCTTTTTTTCTTTCTTTTTTTAAGATTTTATTTGAGCGAGAGAGCGAGAGTGCGCGTGCGCGAGCACAAGACGGGTCAGAGCAGAGGAAGGAGGAGAAGCGGACTCCCGGCTGAGCAGGGACCCTGACTTAGGGCAGGATCCCACAATCCTGAGATCATGACCTAAGCCAAAATCAAGAATCGGAAGCTCAACTCACTGAGCCACCCCATAAGTTGCAAAGTCTTAAAGTTTAGTAGCCCTTCATTTAACATTCAACCTCCACCCTCAATTTCAGTTTTGTTTTTTTTTTAAGACTTTTATTCGAGAGAGCATGAGAGAGAGAGAGAGAGAGCGTGTGCGCCCGTGCGCACACACACAAGTAGGGGAGTGGGGCAGAGGGAGAAGCCGGCTCCCCACAGAGCAGGGAGCCTGACATGGGGCTTGATCCCAGGACCCTGAGATCATGACCTGAGCCAAAGGCAGATGCTTAACAGACTGAGTCACCCAGGTGCCCCTTCAATTTCAGTTTTTATTAAAATCTGATTGGGCTATGAACTACTGTTCTGAATTTTAACCTCCATTCTTAATCTGTTTTTCCTGATTTGGCCGCAAGGGGGATATAAATAAAAACCTACAAGTCATGCACTTTAAAACTTCTCATCTAGACACCTTTACCATTATTTTTGTCAACTCTTCCAATCTTCCCACTCCAAGATAGAGAACCTTGTTCCTGACCCAAGTAGGAATGTCTGGCTGGATGCCTTCTATGGACAAGTAGATAATATAAGAGTTCAAGCAGCTTCATTTATGCACAAATAATGGAGTCAATATTTTTATTATGGCCATTATTATTATAGCCCCCAAACAATTATTTTACAAATTGGACATTTGTAGAAAATATAAGTGTTAGATACAGAATAACAACTCATTTCAGAGGCAATTTCTTTTGTCTAACCCAAGGCATTGTCCCACTTAATCTTTCCTGCCTTGCTGCATCCCTAAACTCAGTTCTGATCCATTGCTTAACTGCCTACTTTGCAAATTATAGATGTAATGAGATTTTTTGTGGGGGATAAAAATAAAAGCACTGACTACAAGTTGGGAAATGAGGATTCTTGTCCTAACTCCTCCACTAATGGGAATACGATTTTAGCAGATAACAACTTATATGTGCATTTCCATTTACAGATGTGAAAATGACCGTATACCAACTCACCGGACCAATTTGAGAATTTCATTAATAAGTAAGTGTGGTGATGCTTTATAAACGATACACAGCACTACACAAAAAGGTAAGGCATAACCACTGCTATTATAAAGTCATTTGTGATTTTTATGTGATGCTTATATAAGGTATCCTATTACTCTATAAAAATATTTCATACATTACTCAATAAATAGGATAGTCAGGATCTGGTATGACTCATTAATATAACTAGTTAGTTTAACTTCTCCATTTTAATTTCTTTTATTAAAAGCTGCCAGAAAATCTTCTAAGAGTACTACCCCTTTCTCTGGGCCAGAGGACATCTTTGTTAACACTGACACCACTTTCATCCCCCTTCTGGGTGAATGGACCAAGTGACAGATTTTGGCTAATTGATAGCAAATTATGACTTGTCTGTCTTAGCTCAAATATATGATTTGGGTATATGTCTCAGGAATTTGATCTAAGGATATATCCTGGTAACTATAACAATTTAGCAACAGTAAAACAAGTCTAGATGAAAATTTTTCAGAAGGCCAAGACTGAGGGAGAAAAGACTGACAAATTTGTGGCATCCAAAAACAGCCTTTTACATGCCTGGATCACCCATAAGGAGAGTCCCCTTTTTAGCTAAGATCAATTTCTAGATCATTTTATTAAAAAGTCAACCTGATAATTAGGGAAAGGATATTCTCTTTGTGGGACTCAGAATGTGTATCAAGGATCTGTAAATTTATGCAGTAACTTATTATAATGTTGAGTTATAATGATTAGAGCCCCAACCATTCAGGCCCTATTGGGGAGGTTACCTATTGGAAAGGTAAAAAATGGTGAATGATAGCTCCAAAAATTATGAATCAGAGGCTTACAGTTCAGCTATCTCTATAGAACAAATACCCAAAATAATAACTTCAATCACAGGATTCAGCCCTATCTCTGCAACAAAAACAGACTCTTTACTGAAACAGATAAACTAGACAATCTCTAGAAAGATTAACAGAAAAAAAAAAAAAACACTAAGTTTTAAAAAAACAAAAGGTAGGCATAGAGAGGTATGCTTTACCTCATTACAACTGTTTTCAAAAGCTATTTGACTGAAATTAGCTTTAGCATCTTAATGATAATGTCTGAATAGTGGATACAGTTTATAATTTCTCTAACTTTTAACTGCTATCCACTTCTTATGAGGCTACAGCCTGAGAAAATTATCATTAATTTTTAAACAGTTCCCTAGGCTATATATTACCTAATATTTTAAATAGGGTCTGAACCTTTCAAGGTTAATACTTCAATAATTCAGTTTGGCTCTTTGAAAAGGGTCTTCTTCCTGTGACCAAACAGGAAACCTCTGTTGCCTGGCAGCTTATAGGATTCTAATTCATGAATCTTAACTTTCACTTAGTTATGAAGCAAGGTTTTTAGTTCCCTCTGTCCTAAAGTAGAGAAATAAAAATAGTAGTTCAAAGATACTTAACTAGAGAACTATACTTCTAGCAAAAGTGATTTGTATTTTCTCTTTGTTTTCAAGCTACTCTTTGGTTTCCCATCTCTGCTGAACAAATCATTAACACTGCAACTTATTTATTTTTCTTTTTTTTAAAGATTTTTTATTTATTTATTTGAGAGAGAAAGAATGAGAGACAGAGAGCATGAGAGGGAGGAGGGTCAGAGGGAGAAGCAGACTCCCTGCGGAGCAGGGAGCCCGATACAGGACTCGATCCCGGGACTCCAGGATCATGACCTGAGCCGAAGGCAGTCGCTTAACCAACTGAGCCACCCAGGCGCCCAACTTATTTATTTTTCAACTTAAAAAAACATTATAGTCAAGTTATTTCTTTCTTTTTAAAAATTTTTATTTATTTGACAGAGACACAGCAAGAGAGGGAACACAAGCAGGGGGGAGTGGGAGAGGGAGAAGCAGGCTTCCCAATGAATGGGGAGCCCGATGCGGGGCTCGATCCCAGGAGCCTGGGATCATGACCTGAGCAGAAGGCAGATGCTTAACAACTGAGCCACCCAGGCGCCCCTCTTTTTTTTTTTAATTTAAGATTTTATTTCTTTATTTGAGAGAGAGAGAGAGAGTGAGCTGGGGGGGGGGTGCGGGCAGAGGATGAGGGAGAAACAGGCTCCCTGGGGATCCCAATGTGGGACTGGATCCCAGGACCCAGGATCATGACCTGAGCCAAAGGCAGACACTTAAAAGACTGAGCCACCCAGGCTCAGTCAAGTTATTTCTTGAAAGGCTTTGCTATACCTTAAAAGATGTTTTCTGAGTCTTTTTCAAGTTTTCTTTTAAAGATTTTATTTATTTGTTTGAGAGTGAGAGAGAGTGCATGCCTGTGAAAGCAGGGTGTGAGGTGGGGGGAGGGAGAGGCAGAGAATCTCAAGTAGACTCCTTGCTAAGTGCGGAGCGGGAAGCAGCTGGATCTCAGAACCCTGAGATCATGACCTGAGCTGAAACCAAGAAGTGGACGCTTAACAGACTGAGCCATCCAGGCACCCCTCAAGTTTTTTTTATTTTACTTTTATTTTTTTAAAGATTTTATTTATTTATCTGACAGAGAGAGACACAGCGAGAGAGGGAACACAAGCAGGGGGAGTGGGAGAGGGAGAAGCAGGCTTCTCACCGAGCAGGGAGCCCGATGCGGGGCTGGATCCCAGGACCCTGGGATCAAGACCTGAGCCAAAGGCAGACGCTTAACGACTGAGCCACCCAGGCGCCCCTCATGTTTTTTTTTAATGGAAAGGAACATAAAAAGAAATTGATCCCCTCCCTTTAAAAAAAAAAAAAAAGATTTTATTCTTAAGTAATCTTTACACCCAACATGGGACTTGAACTCACGACTCCAAGATTAAAAGTCTCACAGTAATGACTCTGAGCCAGCCAGGCAAACCAAAAGAAACTGATCTTAATACATTTTTAAAAGTATCTTTCTCTACAAGTATTTAAAGCAAACTGTATTTTAAAAAAAAAACAAGAAAAAAGTTTCCTACCTCTAATACCCTGGTTTGCAGGAGAAATTGGTTTGGTGGTTTCTACTACATAATCCAATATGCCTTGTGTTATTTCACTGTTGCCTTGAAGTTTAGTTTCCAACAAAACTTTCTTTCTCTTTTTTTTCTGTCCTTCAATGGGAACTTCATGCAACAAAATCTTAGATGAGAAAAGTTTAAAGAGAGAAAGTTTAAAATAAAGTTTACTTGCCCTAGAATATAATAAGTCAGCAGTCTTTCTTAACCCCAGCTTCATATTAGAATATCCTGGGAAGCTTTTAAAACAATAGCAATGTCTAGCTTCATCTTAGACCTATTAAATCAGAATGTCTGGGGAGGGGGGCCCTGGTACTGGAAGTTTTAAAGTTCCCCAGATGATTCAACAGTGCAGCCAGGATTGAGAACTAGTAAACCAGAGCACTGCTGAAGCAGCAGCCTCCTGAGAGTCTCTGCAATATCCTTTAATAGGTTTCAGATAACTAACCTTAAAAAAGCAATTTGAGCAAAGTGCTAGAGCAATTAGTTGGAGTTAGGTTAGAGTAGAAGTATTCTATGATGCTTGGAATCTGTTGCATAAAAAAGATAATTGTGTTTTAGGGTTTTTCGGGGGTTTTTTGGCTTCAATCACATCTACTAATATATTTAATACAATTCAGGACTACAGAGAAGTAACTTAATTGCCTAAAACTTTAATTAAAGGTAGAAAGATATTTTAAAATGAACTGTTAAAAAGAGTTCTTTAGGGAAATAACCAAGAACAATATTTACATTGAATTTGGAATGAGCTGACTTTTGCAATTTTTTTTAATTTTTGAGAGCCATTTCATAAATTGTACTAAAAACTAAATCTATATAAGGAAAACTCAAATGACTACCTTTTAATATCTAATAATTTATACCTATCAATCAATAGAAAAATGGTCAAAAAGCATGCAACAGACAAAAAGACAGTGTTGGGCAGAGATCTAGGAGCATAATTCTACCTTTTCAAGATCTAGGTTGTCAAGAAGAATTTAGAGGATATGGTAAGACTTTATATAAATGAAAATGACATTCAATGGTAGCAAATAAAATGTTAGTAAATTGTTCTCACTTCATATGACTTAGCTCTGTATTCCCGAGAATTGAGACTGGCAGTATTCTTTGGACGAATAACAGCAACATACGCATCTTCTATGTTTTCTGGATTTCCCATTGTTTTACAAAACAAACACAGAAATCCCTTGAAATATTAAAAGACACATAATCAGCATAATCACTTTGAAAAACAATTTTAAAAATAACATGTTTATTTTTCTATCTTGGAATATATATACTACCTAAAAGACAAGCTAGTGATGACTGTATCTTAATCCTGAACATTCAAACCCTTAGCTTATAATTTTAAGATTTCCTCTTGGTCCTTTTTTCTTTTTCTGTGAAAGGTAAAAAAATTTTAATGGAGATGCATACTTTTGTATGTCTAAACTGCATAAGAATCTGCCTTTTGGACCTAAAAAAAAAAAAAAGTGATATGATTATAAATACTAAGCAAATAATGACCTGAAAGAGTGATTTGGAATATTACACACTTATTTTCCATAAATGACACAAGTAAATGTCCTATTGTTAATAGTTTGGAAGCTGGAAATAGGCAGCTGCCATTGACATTCTTTCCAAAATCTTTTGAAAGAACTTTGATATTTGACATGTGGATAAGCTAAAGTATACCTTATGACTTTCCTTGGAGATGCCTACCACAGAGTCAAAAACATGTGGTCAGTGGATAAAATCTTTCTGATGTTGACTTACAAATATTTTCCACTTCCATTACCAATTCCCTAGGTAACTCCCAACATTTTCTTCCAAATATGTATTTTACACACACACACACACACACACACTTTTCCCCCAGACTAATTTTAAGAATCCATTGAGGAATTTCCAACAAGCATCGGTATTTCAAGTACTACCTTCCTTGTTTAAAAAAAAGACCTTGTATTGTGAATACACCGTATAACATATGTAGCACGATTACACAAACTTTTTTTTTCTATTAAGCACCTAAAAGAGAAATCAAGTAATCCTTAGTCTTCTAAACACAATTTAAAGCAATCAATTCCTGTGAGGGTCAACTTACAATAAAAAAAAAAATCTGGGACAATGCTTTATTAATACTCATCATTTCTCTGGAATATTTAGTACTGCACACTACACTCAACTTTTAAAAGATAAACAAATATGATTAATAGAAAAAGGCATAACCATGAGGGTTATAGTATTTTGTTTTTATACCATTTAATGTAAACATATCCCTCAAAGATTCTAAAAATTGATTTTCAAGAAATATTCATACTTGAATATTTGAAATATACATATACCCTGTGACATGAAAGAAGAAAACAAAGGCTTAAGTTAGGAAAAGAATGAAAGCTACTAACGTATCAAGGCAAAACTGCTAAGGCAGAAACACATGCAGGGGGGCTGGAAAAGACAAACTTCAGCTAAAAATAATAGAGAAAGGCAGAACTAAAGTCAGCAATATGTTTAGACTGAGTTTTAGATAAAGGTTCAAGTGACTAAGTATAGGAAATAGGTAGCATTTTTGTTATGGCTCATTCTATTCTGAAAAATGCTTAGGCATAAATGATAATGTTCCAAGCAATGAGGCCTTACAAATATGCAGATGTGGTTCTCAACTGGGGGTGGTACCCTAATATGGGATCATTTGAAAATATGTAGGGACATTTCTGGTTATCACTATGACTGGGAAAGGGGAGGTGTGCAAATGCCATTTAGTCCCCATGGGGCAGGCTTGTTAACATTTCTTTGCTATACCAGACAGTCCTGTTTAACAAAATGTAAATAATATCTTCAATAAAACCATTTGCTGTATTGAGTACTGATTAACAAACTAAAGCCTTTTTACACCAGAGAAAAAGAAAAGATTCAGTATGTGAATATGGGTATTGTAAATTTAATAAGCAGAAGTCAAAGTGGACAAGAGGATTTACCAGTCTGCAACGTGCATGCTAATAGAAATTACCAGCAATGATCGGAAAGTGTATCTTGATAGATAAAAACTAAAAAATGGGACATTATCTTAGGTCTCTGTAAAATGTTCCTGAGACAGAAAATGATCCACCTTCTTCCATCCTTAAGCAATGTTCCTCAATCTTTTAAACCCATGTCAACTTTATTTTTTTTTTAAACATTTTATTTATTTATTTAATTGACAGAGAGAGAGAGACAGCGGGAGGAGGAACACAAGGAGGGGGAGTGGGAGAAGGAGAAGCAGGCTTCCGGCCCAGCAGGGAGCCTGATGCGGGACTCGATCCCAGGACCCCAGGATCATGACCTGAGCCGAAGGCAGTTGCTTAACCAACTGAGCCACCCAGGTGCCCCATAAACCCATGTCAACTTTAAATAACCAAACCAAGCCAAACCCACAAAACCTTTCTGTCCACATAGTTGAAAATCATTAATAAAGCATATTTTTATTCCCTTGATTTTATCAAGCTGTCCTTAAATTTTTATTGCTTTTGTTTTCTGAATACAACATTGAATGTTTGTAAAATAATGTGAACAGCTAACATTGACAGTGCTTATTATGTGCTAGACACTATGCTAAGTGCTTTACATATATTAATTCATTTTATTCCCCCTAAACTTGATGAAGGTAGATATCATTATCATCCCTGTTTTACAGGAAAAAAAAAAAAAAAGCTGAGGTGGAGTAGCTAAGTTACTTGATCCTTCCGCATTCTCCTAGAACAATTCACTATTTTAAAGCATTATAACATTAAAAGAGATGGAGACTAAATGTCAGTAAGAATTCCTCTACAGGGATTTGCTGACCATAAAAATCTTTTATTTTTTGCTACAAAGAGAGGAAGTATTAATAAAGTAGAATAGGAAAGAACCATCGGTGCTACTTCTAAGTTAGCTTGCTTTCTCCTTGTCCCTTCAACCAATTCTACTAATCATCACTTATCAGGGTCAACAAGTGTCACTGATAATTTTCAAAGATTTTCTTTCTGTTAAGTGACATTCTGTTCTGTAATTTAAGATATTTAATAATCTTCAAATTGCTTTTGAAGGCAATTACAATGAATTTGGCTAATACAGAAGGAACTATAAGTAATACTGGCATTGGGAACCAAATGAAATCCTATGGTGAATACCAAGGTTATTTAAGGTTATTTGGAGGAGCATGATTTCATCCTTAGCATATCTAAATATGCTATATATCCAGCTGCTGCTGTAGTTCTGCAACCCAATTTTAAGGGAACCAACTAATACAGTAGCATGGGGTTAAGGGGCAAAGATCATGGAGTGAATTGTTTTTATATTCTTGTATGAAAACGTATCTGTATTTTTGGCATTTCCCCCAAATAAGATGACGCCATCAAAGCAGTTAAGAGACTGTAGATGCAGAGAGAAAGACGCATTTGCAAACAAACTGAAGGCACAGAAGCTCTCCAAGAGAGTGCAAAGGGAATGGGAGGGAGATCCTGAGTCAGGCCAAGCTACATCAAAGATTTCTTTTGAAGATAAAAAACACCATGAATAAAAAACAAAGAAAGCCAAAAGCCTCAAAAGATGGAAAGAAGTGTAGAGGCGAGTTGAACTGGAATGACAAGTTGTGAATCGCTTTCCCTGAAATGACAAAAATAAACAATCTGCCTAGGTTTTTCCTCTGCCACCACCCATCAACGTCCACTACCAGGAAAGGACGTGCACGCCTCTTTGCTCAAAGAGCTGCCACCCCAAGAGTGGCTCTGGCTTCTTCGTTACTAGTAACAAATAAATTCCTTGCCTGGAGAAACTAGATGTGGAGATAGTTCAGCCTCCCACCTCTGTTTTCTCTCGCTGTAGTCTGGTTCTCGCTCCTCCTCGTCTCACCCGTGAGGGCGGCCGAGCACCTCCCGGGCCGCTACATTCAACTCACTGGGTGGGACAGTCACCTGCGGGGCGGGGTGCCGTCACCGCTTTCTCATTCCTCCTTCCCTTCTGTTTCCCAGCAGCCGGGCCTAACTTCCTGTGACAGGAAAACCCTTGGTGGCCACCAGAAGCCGCCTGGCGTGTTCGGCCGCGCTTTCCAAAAGGCGCCTCAAGAGCCCGAGTCTCTGGACTCGGAGAAACTCTTGCCGACTAGTTCTTTATTGTCCTTCCCTCTCCTCGCACCTCAGCACGATATTACCCTCTCCCGAAATTAGGGGTTTCCAGGTCTTCAAAGTCCTTTGCTTTCCATCCCGCCGCTACCGGGGCGAGAAAATCACTTCCGGGTTTACACCCCTTGCAGCGTCGCGGTTGGCGGCGGAAGAGCTTCCGGGTCGACGGACGAGCTGCTGCCGTTCCTGCTGCTTCCCGCTGGGGCTGCGGGCTGTCTGGGGTTGGTGGCGGTGCCTCGAGGACAGGGGTGGCAGCGGCCGGCACGCCAGTGGCTGAGCCGGCAGCGGGGGAGGGGAGGAGGACGGCCCGGGCTGCGTGCGTGCGCGCAGGGCTTGAGCATGAGCCGGACTTGACCGCGAGGCGGAGGCAAAAGCCACCGCCCCCTCTTCCCCTCCCTTGAGTGAGGCGGCGCGGCGGCCAGAGAGGGATGGGGGGCGCCCGCCTAATCTGAGCTTCGTCGCGGGAGCCTCCGTCTCACGCAGCGTTCCTCGCGGGCCTCTAGTGCGCACCCTCAGCCCCAGCAGCCTCTGCCCGGCGGGCGCACCCGGGCGGGCGAGGAGGGGTCGCCCGCCTGGGTGGGTGGGGTGGGGAGGGTACCTGAGGTCACCTGCTCCGCGCGAGAGGCAGAGGCGGCCACGGCGGTGGCAGAACTGCAGAGCTGCGGGGTCCACCCGACCCTTACCCTCAGCCCGGGAAGTAACCGTAAGTCTCAGCTTCACCATACGAGTGTGTATGAGGCTATCTCAACCCTTTTTGGCTCCGAGTTCAGCGCTGCCTAGTTCACGCCCTCACGGGTCTTCCACTAATGTGTCTCCTTTCTCTTGTGGAGGATTGTACCCCTCTCTGTCCCCATCCCTGAACAGGCAACATCCTCTGTCGGTCCCGTGGGGCTTTTCTCCCAGCGAATTTGCAAATCTCAGTGGCGCGTCCCATCCTCCCCAGCCAGATGCATCTCCTTGTCCCTCTGTCCTCAAAGATCTGTGTCCTCCCTCCCTCTCTTTCTCTCTGTATCCCAGACCTCGGAGCCTCCCCCGCCCATCTTTTGAGACGTGGAAAGCCACGGGTTCGGCGGATCTGGTGGGCTAGAAGGTCTTGAGCGGATGGATGAAAGTGCTGTGCATCGTTGTGATGGGTGGGGATAGGTGCAGATAGCTCTGATGGACCTTTATTTTTGCAACGTCTGCCACCAAAACAAAAGAATGGGTCGCTCCCTGGACCTTCATTCCTCTCCCTTCTTAACTGTGTATAAGCTCTTTTCTGTACATTGCTGTTAGAGTCGCAGGAAATTGGAACTAGAGCTGTAATTAAGCATCTGCTGAGGAGGTTTTAAGAATCTCACAAGCTCTATTCACACGGAATTGACATATTAAACAATCTTGTATTGGAATGAAGACCCATTCCAGAATAGCTTTGCTAGTAGATCTAAGAAATGAATGTAAAAAACAAAGGGCTAATATTTCCAATATGTTTTTATGTCTTTAAATAATTTTTGGTTTTTTTGGATTTACATTTAGTTCTTAATTTACGAAGTGTGTGTGTGATGTGGAAAATTTTGTATTGGAAAGTTTTGTTAGTGGTTAAAAAACACTAACCTGATTTTTAAAGATCATCTCAGATTGTATTTGGTAAGATATTATTTTAAGTCGTTCATTTCAGAGAGACTTTTTTACTGATTTAGATCAGCCACCTACAGATGTTACACGCTTGTGCCTATGACCTTACTGCTTCTTAGTTTGAAAAAGGAATTAACTGTGGATATCTTCAATTGTATTTCCAGATTAAAGGCTAGGCATTTTTTCTTTTTGAATTTAGTTTGCTTTTTAAACTGCCACTGCAGAACTTTCCAGAAATTAGATTTAAAAATAACTGTAATGCTGTCAGTGCCTGAACAATAGCTCTTAACACGACTTCATGCTGATGACACTTTCCAGGACACTATAGGAAGCAAGTAAGTTTTTTTCTAAGATTTTATTTATTTATTTATTTGACAGAGAGAGACACAGCGAGAGAGGGAATACAAGCAGAGGGGGTGTGGGAGAGGGAGAAGCAGGTTTCCTGCAGAGCAGGGAGCCCAACGCAGGGCTTGATCCCAGGACGCAGGGCTCGATCCCAGGACCCAGGGATCATGACCTGAGCCAAAGGCAGACGCTTAATGACTGAACCACCCAGGCGCCTGGAAGTAAATAATAATTTAAGAATAATTTTACTCTGCATATTGCAGTTCTTTGTTACTATTCTGTAAACTGTTCTGTAATGTACCTGGTAGCCTTGGTTTATTTTTTTTCTGAAAACATAGTCATTGTGTTAAGAAACGTAGATGTGTTTAATGATGATTTTTGTCGTTGTTTTCAAAACTTTCTTTTAGCACTTGATTTGGAACATTACTTGATTTGTAACTTCGTATTGTTCACAGATTTTAGTTTAAAGTAGGCTCAGGAGATGTAGCCCCAGCTGTCTATCTGGAAGTATACTTTACTGGCTTGTTTCAGAAGCCAAGCTCTGTACAGAGTTGAGTGTATTATTAAAGGTATGGTTTTGCTTTTCAGAAAATTGATGAGTTTCCAAATGTGAGGTAATTGGCCATAACTTGGAAGTCTTTTTTTCCCTCTTCTTCTTTTTTAAAAAGTCTATTGATCCCTGTTATCTTTGGAAGTAGTGGGGAAGATAGCACTGTATTTTCATAGTACACTTTTTCCTTTGCCAACTGCACTGGGAATTTTGAGTTTTCAATCTGAAAATGTTCCCAAACCATGCAGATTATGCCATAAGGGTGAGTTCTAACAGGTGGCTGCTGAAACAAAAGTTTTTTTGGTTACTCTTTTGTACTCCTATAGCACTGCCCACTTTTGAGAGAGCTGATTTTCTTTCTTTCCTCTTCGTTTTCTGGAGTGTGCAGTTGAACTTGTGAAAGTGAAATCTGTGTATTTACAATGTACTTGTAAGTAAAAGTTCAAGCTAATTTGCATATATAAATAGATGGAAGAACTTGAATTAAGCTCATCTGAGTCTCCTTGAGTGGAAGTTAGAAAGATTCCTCAGTGTTTTGGGTACATTTTTCCTGTTTGAGGATGAACACAACATTTGTTTAGATGAAATTTTACAATACTTTTCTGTAATATTAGACTTATATGTGACACATTTGCCAAAACAGATTTGAAAGTGGCTCAGTCATTATTTAAAAGAGTCTGAGGGGAGTTTCTGTGCATGGTTTTAAAAATGCTTATGTATTTTATTTCCTTTCTCAAAGTGACTTGCTTAGGGAATAATAATTTTTGGACTCTAAGTTTATTTTTCAGACAATCTCAGACTACCGTTTTTTCTCTTTTGAGTTAACTTACTTTCATACTCAGTTCATTTCAGTAAATCTTTATTGAATGCCTACTGTGTGTGCCAGGCAGTATGTTAGATTCTGGGACTGCAAGTATAAATAAATTACAATAGCTTTCCTCATTGAATTTGCCAGTCTAGATATTTGACTGTGATTATATCCATCTGCCTTTACAGACATCTCTAATAGGTTTTGAAGTCACTTTACTGTATTTGGGGGTTGTTTCGTATCCTTTCTATAAGAATAAATACATTAAATGCCATTTATGAGTGCTTAACTTGTACTAGCCACCATGCTAAATGCTTTATATACATAATTTCATTCAATTCTTACAACAGTCTTAAAGAGTTTTTTATCTCCCATTTAAAAACCACACAGATTCTGATGTATAGTAATGCTGAATGTTGTTTTTACTCGTAATATGCTAGAGAAGATTCAACCTTAAGATTCCTTTGTAAGAAAAAAGTTGTAATATAGTTATAGCAATTTTTAATTCTCTAATAATGCGTTGCATAGATTCTCATTTCATAAGGTATTAATATTGTTTATTTTCTAAAGCACATGAATTATATTCTATCAATGTAATATTCAGTAGTTGTTGAAACCTTAGAAAAGACAGTTCTGAAGTTCATTATGGTTAACTGTAACACAGATCTTCAGGCATATAGAACTTTTTTTTTTCTAGTTCAGCAATGGGACCAACAGCTTTACTGCATTTCTTTTATTGCCTGCTTTCTCTCTGTTTCCATACATACATTACATACATGTGTGCATATGTGTGTAAAAACACATGCATACATATCCATGATTATAGTCTTTTTCTGAACCTTTTGGGGCAAGGAGCAGACATGGTGTATTGTCACCTGTAAACATTAGTGTCTATTTTTTCCAAAAGCAAGGCACTCTCTTATATAACCAATGTATAACTCTCTAAATAAAAAAATAAGCATTGGTACAACACTATTGCCTAGTCCATAGAACCTATTCATATTTCATCGACAGTTGGAACAATATCTCTTTCTTTTCTGGTCCAGGATTCTATCCAGGAATACATGTTGTGTTTAGTCGTCATGCTTCTTCAGACTTCTTCAACCTCAATTTTCCCTCTTTCACGTCCATGACAGTTTTAGAAAGTACAAAGCCCTACATTCTGTAGGATGACTCTCAACCTAGGTTCATGTAATATTTCCTCATGACTCCAGTCAGTTCATGCATTCCTGGCAGGACTACCACAGAAATGAGTCTGTGTTCTCTTAGCACTTTGCTTCCAAAGGCATATGATGTCAGCCTTGCCACTGCTGGTGATTAAAACGTCGATCAGGGGTGCCTCGGTGGCTCAGTGGGTTAAGCGTCTGCCTTCAGCTCAGATCATGATCTCAGGGTCCTGGGATCGAGCCCCAAGTCAGGCTCCCTGCTCAGCGGAGAGCCTGCTTCTTCCTCTCCCTCTGCTGCTCCCCCTGCTTG